AATAAAGATTACACGTTTAATGTCATATATATATATATAGGATGATTTTGTTATTAACTTATCATTAATTTGGTTACTTAATGATTAAATCAAATTAGTTCGGTAGGTTTGTTCATTTGGGTTTTACTGAAAATTGATTATTAATAAGTATAGAGTTTTCAATTTTCAATGATGATTTATTTTGTAAAAGTTTTAGTATTCTTCTACTTAATGCTTTGATGATAATTGAACTACCAGAGGATGGGAGAAGTTTCGCAGGAAATAAAAAGAGTGAGAGCACAAATGGAAGAAAATGAAGAGTTGGCTATACTAATGAGAGGACTTCGTGGGCAAAATTTACGAGACTCACAGTTTGCTGACAACAATATTCAGCTTCGGTTGGTTGAGGTAAAAATACTTTGATTGTATCTTATTTGTGTCATGTTTGAATTATAGTATACGTTTATTCTCTTACCTGGATGTTTTAGTACATGGGAGTAGACAGCTCATTTCATTTCTGAAAAAGTGGAATATATTGAAAGCTTTAGAAGAGTTTAATGAACTTAGGGCAGGTGTAGTGATGTTTTGGCGGAAATCATCTGTTCGGATTGCTGTTTCTAGCCTCTGTTCCATTTATTTATTCTGCTGTATTTTTGGCTGGTCGTGTATAAAAAAATTTCTCGTTGCCTAGGTTGATGAAAGCAGTGAGTTCTTACCATTGGTATATGATCCGGCTAGCATCTCTGCATACTGGGGAAAACGGCCTCGTGCTGTTTCAACTCGTGTTATACAGTTACTATCTGTTGCTGGGGGTTTCCTCTCACGTTTGGCTATGGATGTGATAAACAAGAAGGTCAAAGAGGTGAATACGTGATGCTTTATCACCTACTTTTCATGTTACCTTCTGATTTCTGAATGAGCTAATTGCCATAATTTTTTATAAATGATTCTCTCTCCCTCCTTGATGTTCTTTCATTAAAGTGGCTAGCGACAAAACCCACGCATATTTTTTCTCATTCAAATTTGTTTCTGTTTTATTAACAGAATGAAGTGGCTAGAGCTATTGAATTAAGGGAAATAGTTACCTCTTTGGGCCCTGCATATATAAAGCTTGGGCAAGCATTGAGCATTCGACCAGATATACTTTCTCCTGCTGCAATGGTTGAGCTGCAAAAGCTTTGTGATAAGGTAGAATTATCAAATTGGCATTTCTTCATTCTTTCCCTTCAAAGTTATTATATTGAATCAGTTTTTTTTTTCAAAAGGTTTCCAAAAGAAGTAATTTATCAGGAATGAAGAAATTTAATCCTTACGTTAGAACCATTATTACAAGAGATAAATAACACAAGAACATGACCGCCAATTAGTTCTGATGCCTGTAGATTTTGTTGTCTTACAATTGGGACGAATTCCTCTATAGTCTTCAACCTCAGAAATGTCTTCATTGGATGGCATGACTTGTTGCGCCCAAATTGTCAATCCATTTTTATAGACTTAAAACGTGACATGCATTTTATATATTGGTTTTAATACCATATCAATTTGCAAATCAATAGGTTTCGGGGAAATTGGTTTGGACGGAGACAGAGCCCTCTTGATTGGTCTCTGCAACTTTTCATCCCTTTATGCATAAACCATTCACAGACTTCAGCTTTTAGATTTTAGTGTGAAAGTTCCCCCCCCTCCTAAACTGCTGAAAAAAATTCTGTAATGTGGATATTATTAGTTAGCATTAGTATATTTTTATACTTCTTTAAGGGTGTATTGTAAGTATATGTTTCTAACTGACTTTTCTTTCCACATATGTGAAGGTTCCATCATTTCCAGATGACATAGCAATGGCTCTTATTGAAGAGGAACTTGGTCAGCCATGGCAAGAAATCTACTCTGAACTTTCCTCTTCGCCAATAGCTGCTGGTAATCTCAGCTTGAATATGTTGCATACACACACACACACAAACATATATGCATATTTATTTATATTATATTATGGAGATAATTTTATTAGTTTTTACCTGCTATTCCAACTTTAAATTTTTTGAACTGTTGTGGGATACTTTTGGCAGCATCTTTGGGACAAGTGTATAAAGGACGCTTGAAAGAGAATGGAGATCATGTGGCTGTCAAAGTGCAGAGGCCTTTTGTTCTTGAGACAGTGACTGTTGATTTGTTCATCATAAGAAACTTGGGTCTGGCACTTCGAAAGTTTCCTCAGGTATATAATATATATGTTAAAGCTTAGCTTTTTGCACTACATTTTCCTTCTTATAAAGATGATTCGATATTCTTTAGCTGTACTGTTGATAATTTCCTGTTCTTTGTTCGCTTTCCTTTATTCATTCCAGATCTCTATAGATGTTGTTGGGTTGGTTGATGAATGGGCTGCACGATTTTTTGAGGAGCTAGACTATGTTAATGAGGGTGAAAATGGACAACTATTTTCTGAAATGATGCGAAAAGACCTTCCACAGGTTAGTATGGTATTTTTTTAAGGTATTACTTTATGATGTCTGCTGAAGTAGCTCCCGATTTTGGAGAAACCCATATGATTATTCTATTTCGGTTAAAAAATGTTATTTCAAGTTGTTCTTTTTAGCTAGTTTCGTAAGAATATGTAGTGAAATCAATAGATTCTTAAAATTTGTTTTCAGGTTGTTATTCCAAGGACCTATGCCAAATACACATCCAGAAAGGTTCTTACTACAGAATGGATTGAAGGAGAGAAGCTATCACAAAGTACAGAAAGTGATGTTGGCGAACTGGTCAATGTTGGAGTCATATGCTACCTAAAGCAGGTAATTGTCATCCTACTTCATGTCTAATGGACATATGGTCAAGGAAGAAACTTGACTTTCACGTCAATCTTTCCTGGGTGCATCCACTTTTTTGTCACTTGTTTTGGATAATTAGTGTTAAAATGGGATTAGTTGCCTTCTCCTGTTAAATATTGATCCTTCAACTTATTAATGATAAGAAGGGTAGTGATGTCAGCAATGGTCGTGAGAGTTTCAATTTATCAGAGTGGCAGTACTGAAAATATTGGGACATTTAGGAGTGTTATTCATTCCTGCTTTAATTTCTAAACCACTAGCCAATTCCTTAGATATTTAATCCTATCCTGTGCAATTGGTAACTTGTTGCAGTCAAATTGTAGTTCTAAAATTCACTTTCATTTAGCTAGTTATATCGAAGGATGAGAGAAGGAATCTCTCATACACATTTCTTTTGGCAAGGCTATTTATCTGTGTTTCATAAATATTACTATGTGCACTGTTTGTGCATCAATAACCATCACTCAAAGTATGTCTTCACCTTCCTTTCTGCACTTATCAACTGTTGGGTACTTATAACTGCTACTAACAAGTCGTGTAAAATTCATTAAATGGGTCACCAAACATTTCTTTGTTTTTGATATTTGAGTGTTCTACATCAGACAAACACCTAAGCTTATTATCTAATCCGTGTGGCTTCCTCATTTTGATTTCAGTTGCTTGATACTGGGTTTTTCCATGCGGACCCTCATCCTGGGAACTTGATCCGTACTCCTGATGGAAAGCTAGCCATACTTGACTTTGGTAAGAATTAATCTTAAGCTTAGACTGGAGAATATTTTTTGGTCAACATGTTTAATGGCATTGCATAGGTTGAATTACTTCTTTGTTGAGAGATTGATATATGGTTGTCTTTCAATAGTTATTTAGTATTTCTCTTTACAAACTATTTATCTTATGTTGACCATGCATATAAATGCTAAGTTGTTACTGTGAGAATACCTTACTCATCAAGTCTTTATTTTATAGATTTTAAAGTTCACTTCTGTTGTAACAGGTCTTGTGACAAAATTAACAGATGATCAGAAATATGGAATGATCGAAGCAATTGCTCATCTTATTCACCGTGACTATAAACAAATAGTTAAAGATTTTGTTAAACTCGGTTTTATTCCTGATGGGGTTAATTTAGAACCAATCTTGCCTGTTCTGGCAAAGGTTTTTGACCAAGCACTTGAGGGCGGGGGCGCGAAAAACATTAACTTTCAGGACCTGGCAGCTGATTTGGCACAAATAACATTTGATTACCCATTTAGGATACCTCCTTATTTTGCTCTTATTATTAGGGCAATAGGGGTGTTGGAAGGAATAGCTTTAGTGGGCAATCCCGAATTTGCTATTGTGGATGAGGCCTATCCCTACATTGCACAGGTATGAATATTGTCTTTACTATGTCTTTTGAAAGTAAATTGATTTATAGGTGTAATTGTGTTGTGAAATAAGCATGTGGCTAACCAATCACCAATGGATATTTAGATAGGAACAATATGAAACAATGCAAACATTCGTACCATTGTTGTTGTGCCGTCTTAATAAATCGGTCCATCTTTTCCTGATTATAACATTTATCGTGTCCATGTATAATATTCTATGAACAGAGATTGCTTACCGATGAATCCCCGCGGCTGAGGAATGCTTTGCGTTACACGATATATGGGAAATCAGGTGTTTTTGATGCCGAAAGATTCATCGACGTCATGCAAGCCTTTGAGAATTTCATAACTGCAGCAAAAAGTGGAGGTGGGGAAAATATGAATGGAGATATGGCTGAACTAGGCCTTCTACAGAATCAAGCATATATTACCTTCCCTAGATTTTTACCAAGTGCATCTCAATCAAACCAGCCTCTTCAAACCCGAGCAGCCTTAGCATTTTTGCTGTCCGAGAGGGGGAATTTTTTCCGTGAATTTCTTCTGGATGAGGTAATATTTTTCCGAGAAAGTTGCTCATTTTGTGTTCTTTATATTCTTCTTTCTCTTTTGGTGTATGTATGTATGTATGTATGTATGGTTTTACCTTCATCATCCTTACCGATTCGTTACGGCATTTCGGTGTGAGGTTGCTCGGATATCTAACTAATGTTTTCGTGTTTGTTAAACAGATTGTGAAGGGCATTGATGCACTTACCAGGGAACAGTTAGTACAAATACTGTCAGTGTTAGGAGTGAGAAATGCTGCGCCGGTATTTAGCTTGGTTCCAACAGTCGGACCCTTCAAGCCTGCAGGACTTTTGCCTTCAGTTACGGAGGAAGACAGAATTATATTAAATAACGTCCAAAAAATTCTCGAGTTCTTAACAGCGGGAAGTTCTATACCAACGACATCAAGTCAGGTACTCCAAACTTTGCACCTTTTATTTAGCAAATGACATAATGTCAAAATTAGTCCCCAATATTTGTCTGAATAATCATTTTGGCCCCTTTGTTTGAGCACTTTAACCCTTGGCATTTTAATTTTTGGTCAAAATGATCCATACTGGATGGAAAATTTTGGTTAACTAACGATCCACACATATTATTGACATGCATTTTCATATATGTTAAATTGTTGATCTGTCACATATCACGCCACCCAAGTTGATGACGTAGCATGTGACACATCCGTAATTAATTACGTGAGAATGTCACGTCAGCAACGTACTTTGACTATTAGTCGACTAATGATTTTCATCCAATTTAACTAAAAATTGAAACGTTGAGGGATAAAATACTCTGAAAAAAGAATAGACTAAGGTAATAAAATAAATGTTGGAGGCTAATTTTGACATTACGCTTTAACAAATATTTACAAAGAAACTCGTCTCTTTCAGCTCTTTCAGAGAGTATTATTGGTTCGTTATTCATGTCTGAGTAATTGATTTTCATTTTGTTGAACACGAAACAGGGTGTAAATGTTTCCCGGGTCATCCAGGAATTGCTTCCAGTGTTGCCAGGCATATCAGCCAGGGTTCTTCCCGAGGTGATTAGCCGGTTATCGTCTCGGGTATTAGCTCGCTTAATCCGGGATGCCCTTTTGTAAGCATCTTCAACATAACCCACTGACTTTCTTCAATTGTGTATATATACTGATATTATATACAGAAACAATTTAGATGTCGTTTGGCATTTATACACAATAGATACACAAGATTTTGAGTGTGATCATGATTAAGAGAAAATTATTTAATTAAATTAAAATTAAAATTATAAAATATGTAAATAACAAAGATCGAATGTATGGTTATACTAATTTTATTAACTAACATTTATAACAAGTGACTTAATTAAAATTATTTAAATAATTAAACGATTTAATTATAAAAAATTAGAAGATATGTGATCTCTCGTTATTGAGTGATCACTGATGTAACTTACCCTACAAAAATAAAGTTGGTTCTTGTTCTCAGCTCTAAACTTAATTATTTGCACTCAAAATTCAATTTTATTCAACTTTCAAGAAGAATAAATTTGATTAAATGCAGAAACTACTGAAATAAACAAAAATCAGATTCAATTTTTTTAAATAATTGAGCTTCATAAATTAGAACTCAACTCGGCAATGAAGCTCAAGTAGCTTGCCGAATTACTAGTACATTAGTCTCGCTTACACCCTGGATCGACCTGTGATTCGATTCATATGAAAGTTGAAAGTTTTACAATTTATTCATCCTTTGCTGAAAACAATTTACTCACTTTACAATCGGATGGTGCAGAAAACTCTAAACCTAATTTAACATGATTCTCCGATCAAGGTTCGTCTTCAGGCAAATAGTGGCAACCTCAGCTCCCCCAATGCATACGAGATGATGCTCTTTTTAAGTGGTGAAATATGGTGAGCCCCGTGAAACGCAGCAGCTCGTAAAATGTTCAGAGGACCGAAATCGACAGAGTATGCCTTTTGAATACCATCCAGGACTGCCATCATCATAACGTTTGCTGGTTTTCGGTCTGCTTCGTATTTCTTTAGTAGCGATACCTGAAAGTGTTGAGAACACCACAATTTAAGGATCAGCATCGTGTTTCCGAATCATTTCTTGGAAGAGATGTAACTAGATTCATTGCATCTTATGGCGATGGTTTGTTTTATACATACCTCCCCGACGTCTGTGCCTACAGCAATGCCCTCAGAAATGACACTTGAAAGACTAGATGCATCTCCAAAACCCAAATTAACTCCTTGGCCAGCCAAAGGATGTACAGTGTGAGCTGCATCGCCAATTAGAGCAACACGCTTTGATACATAGTCATTAGCGTGCCTCAAGGATAATGGGAAAACCATTCTTTCAGAGGCCAACTTGACTACTTTTGGCGGAACTTCGAAGCAATTGTGAGCTGAGCTGGAGAGACCTCCCTTGAGCCAAGAAAATAAGTCTGAACTACCTAATATACTTGATGTAGGATGAGGACCATAACCATAATCCAGAGCATGATTTACAGCTTTCAGAAAGTCATCTTCGGTCATTGATTTGAAGTCGGATGACTCTTTCGGGGTCATAGTCCAAACTATATTGCTAAACTTATCACCTATTGGCAAAAGTGCAAGCGGACCAGAAGGTAGAAACCTCTGCCATGCACAATGGTTTTCTACACCATGTTCGACTGTACATATGATGGCATTCTGTGAGTAATTCCATCCGGTAGTTCTTATTCCTGCTAACTCTCTCACTCGGGATTTGCCCCCATCTGCTCCTACCTGTGATGAATCTCATGTAGCTTAATGCCGAAAAAAAATACTAACAAAAATTGTCACCCAAATAATATTATATTCAAAACGAACAAATCCAACTCATTCAGGTGCAAGTTCAATTACCACCAACTTTGCATATAGGCTATTGCCATCCTCTAGTTCTAACTTTGCTAAACGCCCATGGGTGAACAATTCTGTCATCGATAATGTGCTGTTCACTTCCAAGGATGAAGAATTTGGTAGTATAGACATTGAAGTCAATCTTGATGGGTATATTTTCTTTAGCAAATCCGTATTCTGAAAATATAAGTTGAATGTGTCACGAAAACTGAAAAAAAAAAATATGTGCACAATTGTTTTAACTCTAAATAGAAAATGAGGGCCAAATTGTTCCGAGGATAGATGACAACAAAAAGATTTCAAGTGAAAGAAATTAAGGTAAAGGTGTCATGACAAATTGATACCTGCACATGTGACAGAAGAGAACTAAGTAGCACCTTATTCTCCACAACGCACCTAATGTTGTATCCAAAACCAGCAAATAGGAATTAGCAACTAAAGATAATATTGCTGCCTCTTTAGCTTAACACAGGCACTCACCCGAGTACTTCTTTGTCTGCATCCCTGGCATTATATTTTGCGTAACTTAGGCCAGTATAATCCCAAACCTACAAAAGGTTATAACAAATATGTTAGCATTTTTTTATTGAATACATTCTAGGTGCCGATTGAAATCAATGATGCCCTAGGAAATAAGACCTGGTTCTTATTTCAACTAAGACAATGAATAAGAGCCATGAAAAGGGCATGAGAAAAAGACATCATCAGCAAAAGTGCAAATATAACAGCCAGCACCTGCATCTTATCAAAGTAGGCATGTCGATGCTGCTCAACAAATCGCCAAGCACCAATATCTGCAATATATGCTATCACTGTCACCGAGAGCAGAACAAATGTGACAAACAAGCACAGTACATAATAGCTAATCAGGGGGAAATATCAACAAGTCAAAGCAATACTTAAATTATCAATTAGGTCAACATTTTCCTTTCTTGTATGCTTACCTTGGTGGAGGGTCTAAAAATAATACTTAATAGTCCTACAATAATAAACTTTAACAAATCATGACTAACATCATAATCTTATAGCTGTTTCTCAAACACAACCAATATTAATCTTTCTATTTTAAATTACATTTTTCAATATTTTTAAGATGCTAGCACATAACCATTTCTTGAGCTTCCCAAATGGTCACAGAAACATAAGGACTAAAGTTGTCTAATACAGTATGTTTGTTACCTTTCAAGAAAGATATAGTTGAAGGCGTAATAGTACTGACCCTGGGATCAGGGAGGTCATCTTTCATAATGAAGTGCTTTCCCCCCAAAGCTGGATTGCTATCGACGATGACAGCATTCAAGTGTTTTGTTAATGGCATACTAGCTGCAAATTAGCATAGTATATAAACAAAATATTTCAACATCACAAAATTTTATCATCAACAACAAGAACATGCTCTGTAAGATTACAATAAGTTGTAATTATACATATTTATAAGTGTCATTAGCATCCATGTGCATACAATCATGATCATAGTGCCTTTTGATGAATGCTTACACCTTTGTGAAATTGATGAACCGTGTGTACATCTCAAAATAAATTTCATAAAATAAGAAGAAAATGATTTCGTATAAACGACTCAGCTACCTAAGGAACAGGCGAGAGCCAGGCCAACCATACCACCTCCAACAATTGCAATGTCATATTGTTGAGCTTCACTCCCCTAAAATGTTTAAAAAGACAAAGTAACTTAATCCAATATTTTACACCAATTTATATAACTAATTAAAAAATATAAAAGAGAAACAAAACTACAACAATCAAAAGAACAATCAGCCGCATTCGAATTCAAAACACCAGTAAAATGTGAAATAAACCAGAAACTCTAGCAAACGAATGTAGTTAAAAAACTTACTTTTTCAGGGTTTCCAGCAATTGGGCTAGATATTACTCTGGCAGCATCATTAGAAAATGGCCTCCAGGGTATTCTCAATCTATAAACGTTTGAGCCAGCTTTTGTTGCAAGAATCCTATTATTAAAGCCAACAGTCATCATTAAAAGCTAAATAAGCACCGAAAAAAGATCTTAATTCACCTAAAGAGAAGATATTAAGAAAGGAATTCGCACCTGTTCATTGTTGGAATGCCGCCGCAAACTTGTTGAGCTCCTTTATCCTTTGCTAAACGATAAAAACCTCAAAAAATTACTTCGTTTTCGTTAGGATATGGGCGTTTGTACTACTTTAGTACTTTTAACTGAACTAAATTTCTTCTTTCCCAGAAACAACACTAAAATTAGTCATTCATTTTCCTTTGAACATTTTTATTCCATTTATTATTCAAGCAATCAAACAAAAAATAAACGCATAAGTCCAAAATGAAGGCTTAAGACCAAACCTGATCGATTCGCTTTAGCTTCAGAGGATTGGAAACTTTGATTGAAACAGTAAATCGCTCCCCACTCGTGTCGACTCAGTCTCCCTCCCAACTCGCTGCTTAAGCTCAAATCTCTCTCTCCCAAGTGCGACGTGGAAAGTATTAAGAATTCGTTGTTGTCGAAGTAAGGGCCGAGCGTTCCGGTTTGCCTGGGCCAGCTCTTGGACCATTAGTTTTTATCTTTTTCACTAGGGACATGAATTGTACAAATTGAAAAATTAAGGGATTAATATGCAATTTAAAAATAATTTTAGTATATAAAACTCTAAGTTTATTTATGAAATTAACATTGAAAATAATAATTTGCAAAAAAAAATTAAAAAAAGGTAGAATTAAATTTATATCTCAATTAAATAATTTTGTTTTAGGGATTCAATTGGATAAAATGTAAAACTGAATTTAAAAATATATTAATATAATTTAAATTAATTTAAAAATATATTCACATTAATTAATTTTTATCTTATTTTAACATAGATATTAACCTTGTCCATTATATAACAAGTTTAAGGTTTAGGCTAATGATTAAGAGTAGGATTATTTTATGAGGAGAGTTGGGTTCAATTCCCCTTGTCGGCTTATTTTATTATTTTTCTATGTGTCATATTTTTATTAGATAAAATTAATATATCAAATAAAAATATTATAATTAATATTATAAAATAATATTGGACTAAATTATAAAAAAATAAAAATAAGCAAGGTTTAATTTTGGTGTAAATAAATTTTTAAAAACTAAATTTACCACTCTCGTTAAAGTTAAACAGTTAAAATTATTATATGACGTGCTCTGACTAGTCGATTTTTTTAATATCATTAAAAAATAAGGACAACAATACAAATCAATTTACCTTAGTGATTAAAAAATAAGGACAACATTACTATTCTTAATTTTACAATTTTGGGCTAGGAAGATTGAACAATAAAACTACTACCTTGAACCAACTTGGAGAACAAGAAGAGAGGAAATAACAGATGGAGAAGAAGACAATAACGAAGAGCTTTCCTGCCGTTTTTATTCTTTGGAACAACTCGATGAATTTAGTAGATCTTTTTAGGAGGACCCAATGACCTTAGATCGAACCTATCTAATTTTTACAGTGCGATGATTGGCATTTCACGGACTAACTGTACCTACCGTTTTTTTTTGTGTCAATATCAGCAATGCAGTTCAACCAACGATAAACCTAATTCGAATTAATTATAGAGCTATGACACAATCAAACCCGAACGAACAAAATGTTGAATTGAATCGCCCCAGTCTCTACCGGGGGTTATTACTCATTTTTGTACTTGCCGTTTTATTTTCCAATTATTTCTTCAATTACCTCACCATCTGAAATCAACCTTGTTTTCAAACAAGGGTCAAATTGCTACCTTGGTACTTCCTCTTTCAAACTCAAATAAAAAATTCCATCTTTACTTCATCATGGGCCCAAATCCAAGCCCAAACCACTCAATACTTGGACAAGGGTCCCTCACAAGCCTAAAAGGTTTATGTAACTATCTCTCAAGTTAGCCCGAAACCATTAACTTGGGAATCGAGACGTTACAAGTCATTCTCTAGTTTCATGGATTTGAGACCGACCAACGGGGTATATTGATGTTTGTTCGGTTGTGTATGACTGAATTTTACCTTATAGACAGTTACACGGTGTATTTTTTTTCCTCTGCTTAGGCTTAAGAGAGATTTTTTAATGAGACATATGTTCTTGTCCGTTTTGTATTTATCCTCCGTTTTAATACAAAACATCTCATTTTTCAAAAAACTATAGAATTTTTTTATTAAATCATCCAATGAATTAAATATAGGTTTTACACTGAACTATGTCAAAAAAATGTTAAATTAAATTATGAAAATTAATCAAATCTACAATTTTAAATAGATGTCGGCCAAACCAAAAATCAATTAATTATATAATCTAATTTGTTGAGAAATATTACTTTTTCATAGCAATGATTTCACCTCTTTACCACTCATTTGATTGCAGGCTCTCGTGCCATGAATAAAGCACAAAATGAAAGATTAGATGCCTATCTAATATATCTAACCCAAACTACTTATGCTACTTTTTAAAACAAGGTTATTAAAATATTTTATAATAAAATAAAATTATAAAATATCAAAATTTATTATAATACGGTTATTTTTTAAATAAAAGAATTTAAATTTATGAAATTAAATTTTCTTTACACATGCGTATAGTAGGAAAAATAGTTTTTATAGGTTAATACGGAGCTCCTAAATTTTTAGGCTCTATAATATATCACAAGTAACACTTGCTAATAGACAAGCCTTCGCATGATAGTATATTAAAGGAGTGAATTTTTAAAATTTTAAGAAGGAACGAATTTATAATATTTTAGGAATAAAAATACATTTCTAACTGAAAATACAAAAGAAAAAAATTAAAATATGTGTTAATTTAAAATTTTTAAGGGACAACTGTCTCACCCGTTCTCTTCGATTCATCCCTGAAAACAGTAAAAAGGTGTGGTTAATGAGCACTCCAACCCCCTTTTCTTTCACCCCATTTCCCCCTCTCTCATGAGTGCATTTCCCAAAAGCTAAAGACAACAACTTTGAGTGGGGAGAGATGTTATATCATGCCTTAAATTAGTCAATTTTTATAATTAATACTAATTTAATTCATAATTTCATCTCTTTATTATATTTAGAAATGAATTAAAAAAGTTAATAGAAACAGTCGTTCTCCTAAAAATTTATTTATATATATATATTTTTATTGGTAATTTTCTTTACTCCTAGAATTTTATAATTCTCTTTTTAAAATTTTAGAAGTTTATTTTTTTACTATATTCATTTTCCTTGTTTTAATACTTAAATATTGTTTATAATATTAGTGTTTATCTAAAAAAAAAGTATGATATTAGTGAAAATACGACAGTATATTATTATTAGACATCGATGATTTGGTATTCAGAGATAAAAATAGAATGCAAAAGATTATAGAATTTAAGTAACAATATGGAACAAAAAGGTTTAGGTATTAAAGTTAAAAATAATCATAACTTGAGGATCAAATTGTGAATAGAGATTTTAAGATTCTATATGATTCTCAAGTGTAACAATAATGAATAATTAATGTATTTGTACATAAAATATGATCAATTATGTGACTAATATAGCATATGCCTTCTATATATGGTTCAAAAAGAGGAAATTCTATATAGGTATTTAGAAAAATGAAGAAATAAGGATGTGTAGTTTAATTTTGATTAATCAGGGCAGACCCGTCCAATGACAACTGTAACATGTTGATCCGTCAAATGGCCCAAAATTTAAAAGTCCTACGACAATATCTTTATTCGTTTTTCATGATGAATTTTGATATAAAAAAATTCGTATATTTTTTATAATTTTAAATGTAATAAATTAATCTTTATTATAACATACTTAAGGAGTCTCGTTTTAAAAAGTAACACATAACATTTACGTCACTCGGAACGGGATTAAATCAAAACTTTATAAATCTGGAGGGTAAAAAAAAATCATACAAAATGAGTTTAAGTTTCATCCTTTATTTAACAATTACCTTTAATTTCCCACCGCACCTTGTTATTCCTAATACGCCATATGCTTTCTATCTACATATATATACGGCTGAAGCTGTTTCTTCTCCATTTTTGTTTAGGTATTGGATCAAATAGACATAATAAACAAAAGCAGAGCTTCCAAGGTCTCCTGGACTGATAAATAAGCTCGTTCGGATTACGGTTTAGGGTTTCAGTGGCATGGTAAGATCAGTAGGTAGGTAGGAAGCAATATATAAATATTTAAGCTTGATCGGATTAGGGCTGCACTCCTGGCGGCATCGGCGCAGAACCGGTGCACCGCTTTAGTCTGCTCTTGCTACGTGCCGTCAAGGAATTCGAGTAGCAAAGGTGAAGAGAATATTAACAACAGAAGCAGTAGTAGCAGCAACAACATCGGTAAGAGGACCGGCACCTTGGGGAAGAGCATTAAAGATGGTGTCATGGAAGGAGATGAATCACAGTTGAGCATCGACACGACCGGCAGCGGCGGCGGCGGCGATAGTAATGGCTCGCGCGTCGGAGGGAACCCGACGACTCGCAAAAGTAATCTGAAGAAACCGGTGGCTGATGATGATCGGAGCACTGAGTTAATAAGGGCTGAGACGAGGAAAGTTAGTTGGCCAGATTCTCATGGGAAAGACATTGCTCACGTTCGGGAGTTCGAGCCGAGGTAAATGCATACATACACATATATAATATAAGCTTGTTAAGCTTATAATTGAATAATCAAGTAGAATATATTTCTGACTTTATTTTGATTTGTAAAAGTGTGTCGGATGATGGAGAGCTGGAGGGAGTTAGGAGGTCTTGCGTTTGCATCATTCAATGAAGCAACATAATTCGGATTCGAATCTTGAAGACGATAATCAAGAATCGAACATAAACTACGAAACGAATTCACAAGTCTTCAAAAGATAATCCCTCGTAGGTAAAGCCATTCAAGATGATTTCAGCAACAAATTTATGGTAATCTTGGATTGTTTCATGCATGAATCCTGCACTTCCTAGTCGTTTATGATAACCAATTCATTGTTCATGAAGATAAATCGAACTCTGATTTTTTTTTATTCAGATGAAAAATCGACCCGGAATTTTATTCTATTGGTTCATATAAGTTGAAAAAGGATTTGTTAATGTTGGCTGATGGAATGCATGAAAGAAATGATCTTGTTGATGCTTAATTAGTGCCCACAAGAACAAGTATGTTCATTGTTCAATCAATGTCTTTAAATCTGAGGCATGGGAGGGTGAAGAGGAAGGGCCCCCCCCCCTCCAAGAAAAAACACTAAAGCAAAAAATTGGTCATAATTATTGCAAAACAGGTAAATATGTTTCTTCCTTTGTTAGGTGCATGTTGTTTTCTCATTTAAATATATATATATATATTCAATATAAATATGAGATTTAATTCATGTATGAGACTAAATTCACTTAATAATTGCATTATTTCATCTTATTTAAGACTCTCTCGATCTGTTACATAAATAACTCAGAATCATCGCTTTTTATCGATAAAACTAAAAAATTTAAGTTCGAAGAAGGTTGGTAATGGCTAAGTCGACATTATAATGAAGTTTGCAGATCTTTAAGCACAGGTAAGACCCGTAAAAGACGAAATCTTTGGTCATTACCAGAATCATGGCATAAATGCACACGCCTCTACAGCACCAAAAGCAAGAAAGCATCATGGCCTAGATGGCTTTTATGTTTTTTATTGAATTGGTTTTTCCACTTTACTTTTTTTTTAAAAGAAATTATATTTTAAACTAATTAACATGTCTTTCATACACACACTTGGATGCCTAAATTCCATGCTTTTCATTCTAATTACAACTTTGAACAGTTAAACATGAACACGAAAGAACCTTGCTCTGCCTAGATTCCACTCGGTTAGGCAAGTTTGATCCGAATATCATTTTAATTGATATATCGACCGTATCTATTAGTTGATTTTAAGATTAAAATGATACCGATAAATATATCGAAACCGGAATATGTAAATTTTGCTTTCAAACAAATTTTATTAAAGAAAGTAAATCGTTTCGAACTCGAATTTTAAAAGATAAAAACAGGAAAAAGAAAAGAAAAGAAAAAAAACTATTTCTTGATGTTTTGTTTTGTTTCTGGGACCTTGGGGTTCTGAGTCTTGCCTTTCTTAGCTGCCGCAGCTGCTGCTGCTGCTTTGCTCTTCTCTTGCAGCCTCTTCTTCATTTCTTGAGCTGTAATCCAAGTATAATCTTGGGGTATTGCGAATGGATCTTGAACATTTTCCGTCTTTTCGGATGTGCCCTGGCGTGGATACGGCACCTTTATCCACTGAAACCAAGACGAACCCGTCGGGCGTGTTGCCGAGGATCTTTCTTGTCCCGAACGGGGGCTCGAAGGGGGTGTCGAGAACTCGTCTCCGACTGGCTGTAGTTCTTCGAGCTTGGTGAAAGAAACCAATACTCTCACTGTTGGTACCACAGGGAAAGCAACCTAAGTGCAACCGTGAGCATTTCTTAGTATGAACATAAACTACAATCATACATTTCATTTGTTGGCCGAGCTAAAAGCCTAAAATAACCGAATCGACATCTATGACCGGCATATATTCGATCATTACCAAATAATTACGATAATTACGACAATGATTGACTAACGTTACTGGAAATGTTACATATATCTATATAGTATATATAAAATTTCATTGATAAAACGTACCTTGACAGGGAAGGTGCCGGGTGGAAGCTTTGTAGTGAGCAATTCTCTTAACCGACGAATGGCCTTAACTTTGTTTGCTAGAATGTCTAGCAATGGCAAGAGTTCATCGATTTGCAATGGGAAGTTGGAAGAAAGCCAAAGAACAGTCTTCAACCCTTTCCTAAACTCGTTGCCCCGGCCACTATCCCGATGCTGATTAACACTCTCCCAAGTCGTAGAAGTCGATGTTCTTGAATCCGTTACCCTTCGATGCTCGTCCTCCTTTGCTGCGGTCTCCACAGAATGTTTACTTGGTTTTATCCGACTCCCAGATGGAGTGTCTCCAACCGAATCACTCGCTTTTTCATTCTTTGAATCCCGTTTCCTCCATCCGCCAAACCATCCTTTCTTTTCCTGCTTAGTCTCTGCATTTTTATAACCATTGCCCTCCTCGGGACGGCAATCGCCATTCTCGTTGGATATCTCCGACTGATCGGACTTAAGAGCAACTTCGAGTTGTCTCTTTTCGTCTTCGGTCAAGATGTCTTCGAGCTCTTCACCCTCTGTTTCATTCTCATTGGAAGCTGCTAAGAACTCTTCATCTGTCATGGCCCCTGGCACCCTCCTAGATTTGATGAAAAAAACAACATTGTTCATATCGTACACCTTAGCCTTCCAGGCACCCACCATTTCGGTTCTCGGATGTCGTCTCCACGTCATTTGCGGCACAAGGACCGCCTGCGACACGTTTATCCCGGGTCGCATTATATTAGTCCGAAACATTGCAGCCACTTCTTGTTTAATCTCTTCCTCGGTTGATTGAGAACCGGTACCGTCGTATTCGAAAGCATTGATCACCTCTTTATCCTTATGTTTGATCATACAAAGTGATCCTGACGGAACCTTCCCATCCTCGGAACCGTCACCGTGGAAAATAATACTCTGATCCGAACGTTGAATACTAAGACCGTCGAATCCGGCCAACGTCATATCCGCTCTCAAATTCGCACCCCTCTTCCAAATTTTATACGTATCCGAAGGAGCAATCCTGGAAATGAAAGGTATCACAGAGCTCTCGAAATGGAACGTGATTTCCATGTAAAAGTCTCTCATCCTTCGCATTGTTCCCAACAGGCGAGGCAACCTTCGGCACCATTTTGCCCACGCCAACGGCGGATAATGCCGAACGATAATCGCCGCAATCGCTTCCTGCCGATTACAAATCGCTTCTTGGAGTGCACTCCATCCTAGCTCATTCCGAAGGCTCCAATCGGCACCGGCGATCATAAGCATTTCGGTCGACGTCTCGTCCGCGAGTTTAACGGCCAAATGGAGAGGAGTATCCCTGTTGGGAACCTCGCGAAAATCGACCACGGTGGAGATCGCATCGGCCTTCTCTTCCTCGGCCAACGAGTCTTGCTCCGTCCGAATCAAATCCGGGTTCCCGAGAGACGGGAGTGCGGCGAGTATCGTCTTGAGCCCGGCATGATCCTTGGTCGCAACAGCTTTGTGTATGGGACTGTGTGCGTACTTAGAAACATTAATACTCGCCATTGATCCCTCAGGAATCAAAACACGCCATCAACATTAGAACACACTCGATTTCAACTCAAAATCCCCCAACAATTCGAGCACATAAGCAAACTATTCCTCCCTACAAATCAACAAATTCAAACAAATTAAAAAGGAAAAAGAATTGCAGTAACAGTAATATTGGCAAAGAACAAATCGAACCCAATTTTCTGTATTAAACAGTTATTATAACTACCACAAAAAGAATCCTTGGGGGGACATAAATGGATATCCAGAAGAATTTCTCACCAGCTTCTTTCTTTCTGCCTGTTTTTTTCTAAGCAACCAAACAATGCTCCCAGAAAAAGAAAGAAAAATCATAAAGTTCTTCACTACAACGAGCAGTAGGTTGTGATTTTGGCCAGAAACCAATCAAACCCAATTTTGCAGCATTAGACAGTTATCGTAACTGCCATTAACAGAATCTTTAGGGGACACGAAACAGAGATCCAAAAATATCTCATCTGATTTCCCCTCAAAACGCTGCGTTTCATATATATATATATATATATATATATATATATATATATATATATATATATATATATATATATAGTAAGTTTCCGTCAATGAGTGTTGACACAAGTGGTTGAGATTCATGAATTTGAGCTTGTAAGGTCAAATTTGAATCTCACCACCGTCACTCTTAGTGGGTAATCTGTAAAGTCCTATGTAAATCACAATTAGGTCTTAAGTATGCCATGTTCCTGGACTGGGAAGCCACTCTGACCTAAACTTTTGTGTATCAAATATATATATATATATATATATATATTAGTAAGTTTCCTGGCGTTTGTAAAGAAAACCCATAAGTCGTCTTGTGACATTAACATATAAGAATACATGAAAATCATATGATGATGGATTTTAGTGATAAAGGATGAAATATATTTAAGCAGATCTCAGTCGATCAAAGCTCAATCTAACTTTTAAGAAAAAAATTTAAATTTGATTGGGTCAAAAATAAATATAAATATATTTATTCGATAAAATATCTAATTAAAAAATTATAAGTAAGAGTATTATAATAATAATCTTTAGATATATAGAAAAAATTATACATTATTCCGTAACATTGATTTTTTATCATAAATTCAAATTCAACCCGACCTTACTCTTTACAAAATCCAAATCAATTCAAATTAAATTTAAATTTTTTATATATTTTTTTTATTTTACCATATTAAATCAAAATCCATCAAGTTTAGATTAGATTATTATCTTAAATTCAAAGAGATTATAAATTATAGTTTGGGTAAATGTTTAGAAGAAAAAGTTTAAATATCTAACTAGCTAAGAAGGAATATAGTTTTAAAAAATATTTAGATAATTTTCTACTTTTAATAAAATTAATCGCTTTTATCTGGTAAAAAAATAAATAAAAAATTCACTAAAATGTCAACCAAATGTTGTACGTAAATGTAGGAATCACACATCAATTTTCATTTCCTGGATTTAATAGAAACATATTCTTGGGGTACTGCAAATGGATGTTGAACATCTTCGATCTTGTTGCAGCCGTGATTGGATGAGCTCGGGTGTTGGTACGGCGCCTTTATCAATTGAAACCAAGATGAACCCGTCGGATGTGTCAGGCTTGAAACGGCCGTATCGAACTCGTCGACCGGCTCTAGTTCTTCGAACTTGGTGAAAGAGACCAATACTCTGAGTGTTGGAACCACCGGGATGGCAACCTGAGTGCAACAAGGGTTATTTCTTAGTATAATTGATGAGACACCTATGACCAGCTCGTATTTGAACATGAAAAAGACAACATACCTTGACAGGGAAGGTTCCTGCCGGAAGCTTTGTAGTGGCAAGTTCTCTTAACCGGGGACCATAAGCATATCGGTCGTGGTTTCATCCCGGAATTTAACCACCAAGTGAAGGGGAGTATCCCTGTTGGGAACCTCGCAGTGATCAATCACCACGAAGATCGCATCAGCCTTCTCTTCCTCGGCCAATGAGGCTTCTTCCATTCAAATCTCGGCCGAGTTCCGAAGACGCCGGAGAGAGGCGAGTATCCTCTCGAGACCGGCATAATCCTCCGTGGCAACAGCTTTGTGCACAGGAATATGTGCATACTTAGAAACATAATACCCGTCATGCCGATCAAGAGTCAAAATATGCTATTTAATTATAGGATGAACAAAACTTAACTCTAAAAAATTGAATTTTTCAACTCTATGGAATGCTATTCATATATTTAATCCCAAGATTAGCTTCCAAAAATAAAAACAAAATTTCAATCATTCAACATTAGGAATACTCAATTTCAACTATTCCTCCCTGCAAATCAACAAATTCAATCAAATTAAAGAGGGAAAAGAGAAAACAATTCATACCCAATTTTCAGTACCATACAATTATTGTAAGTACCATAAAAAGAATCTTTGAGGAACACGAAATAGAGATCCAAAAAGCACTACTCTTTCCTGATGATAAGAAGGGATCATTTGCATGTGAACCAGGAAATGAGGAGGAATTGCTTTCTTGTTACCATTTTTGTATTTTGTTTGCATGCAAACATATAATAATGCACCATAGAAAATAACACAAATCCATGAAGTTTCATAAAAGAAAAACAAAGCAAAAAGGAAATTCATGCCATAATAAACAATGACTTGAAGTCCTAAAACTTGAAAATTGCTAAAATAAAGAACTTAGGATGATGTTATCAAATATATATAACTAAATTATGCACCCTGGTTGCTAGGAACCCGGCCTGTGTAAGGCCGCACTACTAGTTGTCCGGGACGAGGCTGCACTGGGCCGGAAACTGAAGAAACTAGTTGATGTTGGAAAAGAGATCGCAGCCGTAGTAGCTTTTCCGGACGAAGCTGCATCTGGGAAAAAGTTGAGGACTGAGGCTGCACTCGTTGCTGTTCAGAACGAAGCTGCACCGGGTTGAAATTTAAAGAACCTAGTTGTTTGGAAAGAGGCTGCACTACTTGCTGTTCGGGCCCAGACTGCATTGAGGGGAGATTTGAAGAACCTTGTTGAGGTGGATGCTGGTTGGGAAGCTGCTGTGACAAAATAAGCCGCCATTGTTGTTGCTGCAGTTGCTCCCATTGCAACTGTAGCTGCAATTGCTGTTGCTGCAGTTGCCTTCATTGCATTTGCTGCAGCTGCAATTGCTGTATCTGCTGTTGGGGAAGAGACTGTGAATGAGGATCCATCCCGAAAGAGTTCGATGAACCGAGTTGCTGCCGGGGTTCTATATTCCGTTCCGGGATGTGATCCTAAAGGGGATCCGGCTTGACAGATTCATCAACTTCCATCTCTTCCAACCCCTCCTTTGGCTCGACATTGTCTTCCTATTCATCAACTTCATTCTCTTTCAGACCCTCTTTTCAGTGACGGAGCCATGTAGGCCCCGGGGGCCACTGCGCCCCCCCCCCCCAACCCCCCACCATATTTTTTACCATTAAAAGAAATAGGGATAATTACCAATTTAGAAATTCAAATTTTGATTTATTTTGAACTAAAATTCCGTCCCTGCCTCTTTTGGATCAGCAACCTTAGTGATCAAAACTAGTTCATCATCGTCTCCGATCTCGAATTCTTGAAACTCCTCCTCGATCAACTTCAACACAAGGTTAATCTTCCTCAATGAGGTTTGGATATCCTGATCCTGAAACAACTTGAACTCCTTTAACTTGGCATCAAGCTCCGCACCATGTCGCCTCACTCTTGACTTGAATTGGTTCAAGTATTGTTCAACATTAGCTTTGATCGATGAAACATCGCTTTGCAAATCAACCCATTCATCTACTGTGACGTCCATATCTTGTCTAATTGAACCAGCAAATTCGTAGAGTAACAGAATTAAAGAAGAAACAAACAGTGGGTACAATAAAACGTACTATATATTAACAAAGAACCCTAAACCTAATCAGAAGTATATTAGAAGAGTCTAACAAATTACATTATATTTAAAAAGTAAAGATGTAAAAGAAATAAAACATAAATAATAAATGATGATAAATAAAAATAAAATAAAATAGGTGAAAACATATATATATAATATAATATAAAATATAATATAATATAATACATAATAAATATAATAGATATAAAAACATATATATATATATATTATTAATAAATATAAAAGATATACAAAACAGAAATATAAATATATATAGAAACATTAAATGTGTAAAAAAATATGTACTTAAAAAATAATAAAAATAATAATTTGAAAATAATAATTTAAATATATATATTCTTAATCTTTGATTGCAATGCCTTGGGTGGCTCACTTTCTCTCCTCTTTATTTTCTTGTGTAAGAGTGTATTTATAGACTCCCAAAAACCCTAAAATAAAAAACTCTAACATCCTTTAATTAATGTTAAATATGCTAATTAAAAGAAAAAAATATTAAAATAATAAAAAATCTTAAATTATCCTAAATAAATAATAGAATGTATAAACCTGAATTTAATTACAAATAATCAATAAAATAATTAAAAATTCGTAATAAATTCAAATTCCTGCATTGGACCCATATTTCATTTTTTGCCCGCTCTACCTACAGTAAAAATAAGCATATCTCGAGTTCTCGATGTCCGATTGAAACATTTCAAAATGTGTTGAAATTTATTATAAGTCTTTATGTCTCATACTTCAAAAATCAGTTTCAACAAAAGTATTTGTGACTTGAAAAAAAAAAGATAGATCAGACGAAAATCGAATATTACAACTTTTCCAAATATTAAGAGTTCTAAGTGAACTACGTATTCTAATCACTCAAACTAATGCTAAATTTAATATAAATAAACAAATTATATTAGATTTAAAAATAAAAATGAAGTGTAATTCGATATTTAGTCTACTTCATTTAATTGAATTTTTATTTAATTTAATTTAATACGATAATAAAATATTAAATGTATCGATTACACTGTTTTATTAGTCTTTTATCTTTTCTCACGTAGAAAGAACGTAGTAAAAGAGAGCCAAAACAGCAACACGGGAATAAGCGGGTGCCAAATAGGTAGTTTACCATATATATACACACACACACACACACAAACACAAGCTTATTAGCCAATAATGATCGTACCGACTGTTAATGGCAAAGCTGTCTGAGCATAAGTTGTGTACCTTGGCTTTTGGTGCAATCTTCAGCAGAATCGGTTTTTCGACCCTTTGAATGAAAGGCAGGCGGGTCGAAGAACCAGTTCTTTTATCATGGTTCTTCAGTATTTTCACCAATCCTGTCTGACCATAAGTTGTGTACCTTGGCTTTGCTTTTGGTACAACCTTCAGTAGAACCGGTTTTTCGACCCTTTGAATGAAAGGCAAGTAGGTCGAAGAACCGGTTCTTTTATCATTGTTCTTCGGTATTTTCACCAATCCTATTGATAGCATATAGAGTTTTGCAAGTTGCTATAAATCCTAGCATTTCACTGAATAAATCATTCGGCTGGTTAAAGCAGCGTACTGTTAATTATGCAAAGCATTGAAACAAAGTACAGAAGGAAGGGATAAGAAAGGTTGGAATACCATCTCGCCATGGATGTCCGCTCGCTTCCTTCCAAATCGTTCGGCCGGTTAAATCTTATCCTTTGTCTTCGCCTCGTTATCTTGTAATTCCTGCATCCCAAGCCAAATTAACTCATCAGACAAGCATGTTTACTGATCAAACAGATCGGATTCAGATCAGAGTCGGAGTTACCTTCAATCCAGTGATGTACTCTTAGGAAAATCAAGCTCTACGGAAATCTCGAGACTTGGATATATAAAATATAGATAAGGTGGGAAAAGAAATCACCAAAGATCCCCACATGAACAGCTTCCATTCTTGAAATGATGGAAACAGTTAGGATCTTTTATAATGATTTCTCTATCTACCATCTTGGATATAGCCTTTGCAAAGCCATGGCAGCTTCTACATACTAGGAGATTCTTTGTGACACGAACAGTTACTCTTTCTTGTGTACTGATAAGCCCGAGAGAAATGGCTAACATCTCACAATGTCCGATTAGAATACATTCGCGTTCTTCATCGACATCGTGGAGGCTAAATTCTGGATTAGGTCCGTGTCCTTCATCTTCCATTTTCTTCATTAAATGATGCAATTCCCAATATATTTTCTCGGATCTGGGGTGAGAAACGTCACCTGTTCCAAACACGTGAACTTTGTTTCGAAACTCTATCCAACTGTATGCACTTTTAGGCTTCAAACCCATGTCTTTGATCGTTGTCTTTAGTTTATCAACTAGGTCCCATTTTGCATTCTCAGCATACAAATTCGATAGTAAAACGTAGTTCTCAGCATTGAGGGGCTCCAATTCACAAAGTTGTTCGACAATTCGTTTTCCCATCGTTACTTGCCGGTGGATCCTGCAACCATCTAGTAAAGCTCTTAATACCTCTGCACTATTTTCAATCCGGTGTTCCTCAATAAAGGTGCCTACCTCATCAAAGAGTCCAGCACGAGCTAGAAGGGCTACCATCAGAACAAAATGTGCAACTGTTGGTGTCTTAATGCGGTTGAAGTAAGACATTCCAAAATCGACATTGCAATCTGTCACACAAGCATAGAGAACTGCAGCGTATGCGAACTCGTCTATATGTAACCTGGAATTTTTCTCCATCTCTAAAAGCAAATCTAGTCCTCGCCTTCCATGTCCATGCAAGCTATATCCCGATATCATTTTAGTCCAAGAGAAAATATCTCTCTTGATCATGGAAGTGAAAACATTTGAAGCTAATTCAATGAATCCCGATTTGGCATACATGTCCATTAAAGCATTCTGGACTATGAGATTCGTGTCTATTCCATTCCTAAGCAAGAAGCCATGTAGTTCCTTCCCTTGCTTATGAGTCGGTACACGTGCACAGGCCGGAAGAATGCTAGCGATCGTGAGAGAATCAGGTTTGATTCCGGCCCTAGTCATTAGGCAACACAATTTGAGGGCCTCGTTATATCCCCCGTTTTTAACATGTCCTTGTATCATCTCCGTCCACGAAATGAGATCTCGTGATGGCATTGCATCAAACAGAGATCGAGCTTCCTCCAGACTATCACAATCAATATACATTTTCATCAGTGAATTGCAGACAAGTACATGAAATTCGAAACGGCAATCCATAGCAATCTTGTGCACGTTTCTAGCATGTTGTATCGACTTCAAGAGGGAACATGTGCCAGCGGCTGTTGCCAATGCCACCGGATCGATTGCGGCCTTCGACCGCAGCATTCGGTTAAAGATCTCAAAAGCCTAGTGGGGTTTATTGTCCTCTAAGTACAGCTTAGCCAGTATAGTAAGAGCAACAGAACTGAAAGTGGGGGCATTATCCAACACCCATTTCGCAGTTTCGACACCCTGTAGACTACCATACAATTGAATCAAAGCAGTGACGACATAGACGTCGGAGGAGAAGCCGAGCTTGAAAGCATGTGCATGAACTTGTTTCCCGAACGCTAAGTCTAAGCAGAGGCGGGGGATAGTATGATTGTCGGGACGGACACCATGAAGCATCATTCCATGATAAACGGAGAGAGCATTGTGAGGATTCTTATTGGAGAGATGGCTTTTGATCAATTGGTTCCAGGCGTACGCCTTTGGTTGAGGAATTTCATCAACCATCTGGTGGGCAAAGTCCAACTTATTCAAATTAACCCGCATATTGTGAAGATAAGGAGGAAGCTGGAATTTGGGTTTGTTGGAATATATGTAGTCATCTTTGTTCTTGGGAAGTAGTAGGTTTTTATGAATGGAAGAAGGAAGCGCAGCCATTTGTTTCTTCTTCAACAGCCAATGCCTTGGGTTATTTACTATTTCTTGTATAAGTTTTGTAATTCCAATTCAAGGTTTCTATGCCGATGACCATGACCATGACGGCATGACCTTGTGATAAAATGAACTCAGATGAGACAGATAATGTAGGGGCTTGATGGTGATGTATGGTTATTGAAGGCATCCCACCAGTGTACCTGCACTGCATGTGACAGTTTCTTAAGAACAGTGACCATTTTGTAAACTTGTAAAATTAAGGTTTTCATTTTGAAATTTTTGTTGCATGCTGAAAATTTCTCTCCTTCTTGTATTTTGGATAAACTACTATATTGGTCACTAGAACTTTAAGGTTAATTTATTTTAATGACTGAATAGAAAAACCTTTTTTTATTTAATATATATTTTAATCATGCTCATTCATCGTCTATGTTGATATGATCGACGTTATTAAATATTTCAGCCATCAATAACAGTCGACCATGATAATAAACCAATTGTTTTTTTAACGTACAGTAATTATAACATAATATATGTTTATAATTTATTTTAGTAATTGATAATGTACACATATTTTACGAACACATTTATTATGATCTCAAATTTCTAGAGATGATAACATTTACTTTCATTGCCTTCAACTACTGAGATCGCTTGATAAGTTCATCAACTAATTAATTTAAGATAAAGTACATAAATAGTCCCTTGATTATAGGATAGTAATTTATGGAGTCCCCTAATTATAAAAAATTACAAAATGATCCTTGGGTCTTGACAATTTAAGCTATAATTTTGTTTATTTTTTATGAGTTAATTGCATCACATGTCCTCAAAGTATGACTCTCATTTCAAATTGGTTCTTAAACTTTTAAATATTCCAATTTCATCCTTCAACTATGACTATTGTTCTAAATTAGCCCTCAAACTTTTGAACATTTTAATTTCATCTCCAAAAGTTTTTGAACATTACAATTTCATCTCAAACTATACATATATACTAATCACATCCCTTGTTAATAAAATCATTAGGCCAAATTATATTATTACATGTTTCAAGAAAAACAAATTTTAGGTTAAACTACGGCTGAAAATAATTACATATTTAGACGAATTTGAGGATGAAATCATAATATTCAAAAGTTTTGGGACTAATTTAGAAATATGGTAGTTGTTTAGAGACGAAATTAGAATATTCAAAAGTTTTAGGACTATCTTAGAATGAGAGTCATAATTTGAGGATGAAATTGAAATATTCAAAAGTTTAAGGATTAATTTAAAAATAAGGTTACAGTTTGAGGACATATGACATAATTAACTGTTTTTTATTAAATAATTTTTTTTTGAATGGACAAGTAATAGTAAATTAAAAATTATTTTTGTATGTTATTATATTATGATAGCGTTAAGGTTGTAATTGAAAAAAAGAAGTTAAATTTTGTTTGTTATTATAAAAGTTTTACTCTTGATTTGTAATTTTATTTATAAAAACCAATATCTAATGATTGAACATAAAATTAACAGATGTGTTTATAAATCTTTTGTCACTCCATTTTTTTTTATAATTTGTTGAATATATATAGGGATGCGATCTAATTATATGGTATAAAATTTTATAGTTTTACACTTTTTAATATATATATATATATATATATGAAATTCTATTAATTCCATAATTGTACGGATAGGGATGGGCATGGGACCTGAATCCGACGGGTTCCGACTCGACCCGACCCAATCGGATTTTTTTAAAAGAAAATTAGATTCGGGTCGGGTCGGGTCGGATTTTTTTAAATGCGGTATTCGGGTTGGATTCGGGTTTTGGGTAAAAAATACCCGGCCCGAAAAAATAATTTTACCTTATATATTTAGGAATAATTACAATAATATCCCTCTATATATTATTTTTTGAATTAAATCACCGTTTTTATTGAATAAAAATAATATTTTTATTATTATTTCAGATCGGGTCGGATTTTATCTCAAAAAGTCAGGTCGGGGAGGGTATATATTATGCGGGTCGGGTCGGATTTCGGGTGGAGTATTCATTGTTCTCGGGTCGGGTCGAGTGAACCAAAAATCCGACCCAACCCGACCCATGTCTATCCATATGTACGAATCAAGCTACTTCAGTTGTTAAAGTGATAGTTATTATCCTAGAGATCTCAGATTCGAGCACCAATGAGATTGCAAAGGTGATTGAATATGATTGTCAAATGATTGAAAACGCTATTACAAATACTACTTGTAACCCCCTAGATTAATAAAAGAAATTCATAATTATATGGATAGGTTTTCTCATTTAAAATAAGTATGGAATTCTATTTTGGGCTTGCAAAACAGTTGGGCCTCAACATTACTCCTATTGGATTTGGATGAGTAAAAGGCCATATTTTGGAAATTAATAGTAAATTGCATAATATTATTTTAATTATTATAGATACTAATTTATAGGGAAATTCAATTTTAAAAATGAAAATAATAATTTTTTAAAATTAAAAGAGGGGAATCCAACAAATATGATTGGGAACCAACAACATGCAATAGTTTGTAGGTTGAAAATGAAGTATACGTAATGTTAATGTTAGCCAACAAGTGATGGCAATGGGGACTTTGCTTTGTTTATATCAAATCTCTTTGAGTGCACATGCAGCCATGTGACCATGTCCTTTGTGGACCGACCTATACCAACCGTCTTATTATCGTTATCAATCAATATATATAATATATCCCCATAGTATAATCTTGTGGATCTTATATTAACAACCAATATTCGGTACGAAGAAATAATAATTGTCCATAAATTTAAATATTTGATATATAAATTAGGTTTATAATATCTCATCTTACATAGGTAGGGAACAATGACCCTATACTAAAAAGAAAAAAAATAAGGTCATGGAACTCGAGAAGTGATGGTGTTATACGTTTTATAAGACATGTTCTTTAAAAGATAATATTCTCGTGACAAGTAATATTAGAATAATTGTTTAATTATTTGATTTCACGTTAAGCATCTTAATAAGTGAGATAAACATAATAAACAACTGTGATAAAACGTCATGACTCACATAAATAAATATAAAAGAATATTATGCTTTATAAAAATGATTATATTACTTTCTAATATATATATATATATATATATAGGTTTATGTTCCACTTACATCGTGTAAAACTCTTTTAGTTTTACACTTTTTTAGGATCGTTGGATTGAGGGAACTCAAAGGCTGAGATTAGCTCTCTTTTTTTCCTGTAAATATTTTCTCATTTTCTATTGTTAATTTTAGCCTTTAATCGATCCCATCAAATGGTCCTAAAAATGTGCAAAAACAAAAGAGTTTTAAACAGTGTAATTGAATTATGTGCCCCTATATATATAGGGATAGGATTATGTTACACAATGTAAACTATTTTTAGTTATACACATATTTAGGATTGTTGGATGAGTGAAAATAAATGGTTGATATTAAAAGTAGGAAATGTGAAGATATTTGCTGGAAAAAAATAACGAGTCAATCTCAACCCTTTATTTTCACTTATCTGACGCTCCTTAATCTGTGTAAAACTAAAGAGTTTTACATTGTGTAAGTGATCATAACCCATATATATATATTGGTGGGGGTGTCATACATGCACATGCAGAGAAGAACATGATTCCTTTTGGGTGTTATTGATTCCATGTTTGCATGCGTGCATGGAGAAGAAATAGCCTTGGAATAATCATTGATATGATGAGTGCGTATGATTAACTAACTGTTTTTTTAATTAATTCATATTATATTTACAAATAACTTATCCAATATTTTTGGGTTGATGAAAATTTCAGCAAACGTGCCGCATGCATGATTCTTTCTACACCAACTTTTCTAAATTTATAAATATTTTAAAATTAAAATTTAATTTTGATATTCTAATTTTATTAGGTTAGATTTTATATTATTTAATTTAATAATTGTAATATTCTGTGTGAATCAAGTGACTTTAGTGTTATAACAATCATATATTGTTATTTCTTGAGGTCCCGGGTTCGAGCACCATAAATGTTAAGGGTAAGAGCGTTCAACGTCAAATGGTTAAGTGTTATATTCAAATGATATTGCGATGTACTTATCCTAGATTAATAGAGATAATAATAATTTTAGTTTCCTTTGTTCACTTTTGTTTTGTAGCATAATTTTATAATATTCATACATCCTTATAAACGTTGTATTTGAACTCGACCCAGCTCAATTTGAACCTGAATCTTAAAAAAAAATCCAACCATATAAAATTAAATCAAATCAAAATTCATCAAATGTGGATTAATTATCCACCTTAATGGGAGATTCAACTAATTAAATGAGAGATTATATCTTAATTTTTCTTTTGAAAGAATAGAAAAACGAGCTGAATAAGCATGGATAACATGAAACTTGGCAAGTGAGTGATGATGTGATGAGTACCCCATGGTTCCACCATGCACATGGAGCCACACATGCTTGGTCTAAGTCACTATCCAAATGGCAACCCAATATGAACTTTATTTGCTATGAAATTAGAGGATGAAATGGAATGATATCCCTATCTACATGAATCGAACCAATGAAGAAGAATCCAATTGTGTCATCTTGAGGCAATTTGTTGTATGGGAAACTTATGCATACGTACACTAAATTGATGGCTCATGTGGGCATTTGCATATGGGTGGGAACATTAGGGCCTTCCATGAGTACATATACCTATTTGAATATATATATATATATATATATATATATGGACCGAGCAACCACAATGATAAAGAAATTATCGTTATTTCTTAAGGTCTCAGGTTCAAATACCAGAAATATTGAAGGTGCAAGCGTTCAATGTTAAATGACTGATAGTTATATTTAAATATATATATATATATTGTGACTTTTGTTTTGTACTCAACTATTTGCTTTACTTTTGTCTACTGATGTGGTTTTTATCTAGTTGTTTGATGATAAGGTCCATGAAACCCTAAAAAGCTTAATCAATTGAGATTGGGTTCGCTGGCATGTGTTACCCCGTCAATTTTGGCTAACATGGCTAAAGTTGGTGCTTTCGAATACGGATTAACGGGTCGGTTTGAACTGGGGTTGTGGCCAACCTAATCCAACCCGATAAAAATAAATTAT